AAAAAAAAAAAAAATCGCTGATTTGCATGCACTTGTATTAACGGACCATATATTATCGGGGAAATGTTAACATTCCGTTACGGGATGGTTCTGTTGTCTTTTGTAGCCGTAGATATACATGTAATCTAGTAATGTGTAGATAATCTACGCTTAAAAAAAATGTAACAGAACTACCCCTCTCAACCATCATCTCAATACTCAGAGGACAGCCACTTCCTGTTCAAAGACAAAGACTTGGAAGCTCAGAGTGAAAACCAAAATCAGAAATTTCATCTGGAAATGCTGGTATGGTTTCCTAAACACAAATGGTCAAATGTTGCATAGAAAGATTCAAGTGGGTGGTGTTTGTTGTGTTTGTGGGGAAGGGATAGAAGATTTAGAACATATCCTTTTTACTTGCCAGAGATCTGTGACTTGTTGGAAGTTAAGTGGGCTACAGTGGGTGCATTTTGACAGACATAATATATCTTTTAAGGATTGGTGGGATGACTTATGTTCTGGTAAAAATGATAAATGCTTTCAAGGCAAAAAAATTAACCTCTCAACCTACCTGCTATGGTGGTTGTGGAGGACTAGAAATTCGTGACTGTTTGACAAAATCGAAGTTTCAGAGAATGATATAGTAGATGGGGCATGGAGGGAATGGAGGGAATATGAGGGCATAGCACTCAAGACTGAGTCTGTTGCTAGGGACGCAATCAAATCTGGATTTTGTTTGAGAGAAGTAGAGTATACTGGAAGAGGAGTAGGACAGTTAGTAATGACTGTCAGTGCTTGCCTTTTTTCAGATGGATTTCTGGGAATGGGAACTGTGGTTTAATCAAAAGGAGTTGTGCAGTATAAATGGAAGGATTGCTATGAAAAGGCTCAATCATCTGATGAAGCAACATTAAGAGCAGTGAGATGGGGTCTGGGAAAGTTGAAGGAAGCTGGATTGGATACATCTATATGTTGCAGAGTGGATTCCTTACATATTGCACAACTTCTCAACCAGCAGATTGGGGTGTGATGGCTTTGGTGGCTGATATTGGTGTGGCAGCTGGGGAGTTACTTAGTTGCTCCTTCTTTTATGATTCTTTTGCTTGTTCTTTTTCTTTGTATTTGGCTATGGATGCCGTTCGGAGAGTCTAATGTAGACTTCTCTTAGCTTGTAGTAGGACCATTTGTGTGGTGTGCTATTTAGCTTGTATCTATTTTGGTACTCGATGTATGAACAATGTGGTTTGAGTTTTATCTAATGTTTGTTTGATGTTGAAAAAAAAAAATTGTAGCATTCTCCCCATAATCGTCATACTAATCATTCTTTTATGTGGAAAACATTTATTACAATATTGTAATATCTGTACTTATATAAATTGGGGTAACTATTAGTACTGTAGTATTAATATTATTCCCGTTCATTTTTTTAGCTAAATGTGGAACAAGCCATTACATTTTATACTAATCAAGCTGGTAACTGTAGTATTTTATAAATGTTTTTCTCCATTTATTTTGTTAAAAGGGGTATTTATATCAAATAGTATTATTTTATTTACATAATTTATACTAAATCCACAAGCCAAATGCTTGTTAATAGTATGTGTTATGTCGTATAGTTC